CTTCGACTGGGAAGATGTTATCCGATCAGTTTATCTTCAAATACTTCACCTACCGCTGCGGTCACGTGTTTGCCGTCCATTGTCATTGGCTGGTGGATTAATATCACTGACTGCTCTTAGCGAATGCTGTTTACTCTATAGGTCAACCGGGATCTTTCTTCATCCATAGCATGAGACTGCCGTTTCGATCCAGTGCTTTACTACAAATGCAGCGTTTTTTCATTTGGAAGAGTCGTGTTTCTGCCAGGTAGCTGAAATTTGAACCATTTCGTCCGCATACTTAACGCATGAGACTGGTCTGATGAGTCTTAACACGTTCAAAACGTAAGTTGGAAAGCAAGAAACAAGGTGTCAGAAAGGAACCTTGCAAAGCACCCAGGTAGCTTCATTGCCATTTTGGAAGTGAGCAATTGTGCAAGTAGTGGCACAATGTTGGTGAAAAGGTGGCAGAGAACAATTCGTGCTCCATTCAGTACTGAAAACAGATTCGTGGGAAGAACTCAGCCCATTTAGAATTGAGTGCTGAAGCGATCAGCTCCATAAAACAAACTGCGTCATCGACGATACCAAGGTCTGGTATGGACGTAAAATATCGGTTGTCTTTCATTCATTCAAACTGTCTCAAAAACAATGATTATGGCAGTGTGAACCGACCGTGACATCAAGATATTAGATGCACTACTAGCATTTGATGGAGCACAGAAACACGCAGGCAGCGAGAGTTTTGGAAATACGAAAAAATCTAATGCATACATTCTCAACATTGTGAACAACTGTTTTGGTCAGAATACCCAGTTGTGTTTTACCCAGAATATTATTCAGGGCAGCGAAATCTTTAACTCACCGTTTAAAACATCATTCAATGAAATGCTTAATAAGCACAATGGAAAACCATTAAAATGCCACTTTTGAATTTTAAGAAACAGATTTTGGCATGAGCATCTTATATACGTATTCATTCAATTATTCGTTCGTTCACTTCCTAACTCCTTCCGTTTTCATTCGTTCATTCCTTTGTTCAACCATTTATTCATTTGTCCTGATGCTACTGCCTAAGCCTCATAACTTGTTAAAAAGCCAGAATATGTAATATAAACAATGACTGCTCCAAAGCCATATGTTACGAAGTAATATTGCACCGCCTTCTTGCTATTAGTTGCTTGGGGAGTCATTTATGCAGGCTACAGCCCCATGGCATTTGAGTACCTAACAACTATTAAGAGTGGTGCGATGCAATACGCCGTGAAGTCTGGTCTTGGATGTTTCATTCGCTTTGGCGTACGAATAGCTTATTAAGTTTATGCAGTACCACATGAGAGGTGCCAGTTCCTGAAACATCGTTCGTCATGAACGCCAAGTCGCTCTAAAGGATAAAGCCATGCGAGCTGCTCGTGGCACTGCTGGTGGTCAAATGCCAATGAATGGCGACCTGCATAAATGGCCTCCCTAGGCAACTAGTTGCAAGAGCTATGCAATATGCCGTAAAATCCGGTCATTGATGGGTCTTTGGTTATGATGGAGAATTAGGTAAATGACTATTATGTCTGATTTGCCAGGTAGAAAGATATGGAGGTGATTGTAAGAGAAAACAAGCGCGAGAATCAAGATCATTGACAGGTAATCCTTATTAATAACGAACGATAATCCTTACGGATCGATGAACCGACCAAGCAAGATATGTACGATCATCCGCTCGCAATAAAAGAATGGGCGAAAAGACCCTAACTCTACAAATAAACCGGTTGATTATATGCCCTTTACATTGCTGACAAATTTAGCCGTTCAGTAATATCATCACGGACGGACTGTCAACAAATCTGGATGAACAGCAACTAATGGAGTAGGTAGGATTCGGAGTGAGTTACAGCACAACGGATAACGTTTATACCTTAAATCAACTCCTCTAACACGCAAGCGGATGCCAACTCCTTCTATGCATCGCCTTCGTCGACTACAAGAAGGCGTTCGGCACTGTCGAGTACAACGCAGGGTGGACTAGACCGACTGAACAGGTTACCGACACCCATTGCATCAACCCGCAAAGGAAGTGAACTGTGACTGCTTCATGAGTTGTTCATCAAACTGTTCGATACCACCTCTAAATTCATGTAAAAGGGTTTGGAACAGGGGACACCATCTCCTCAAAACTCTTCGCTGATTGTTTGGAGGTAGTGTTGCGGAGGATAGATTGCAAGGTCGGGATAAGTTTCAATAGTGAACTGCTCAGTTGCTTAAGGTTAGCTGATGACATGATGCTGTTTGCGGAAAACGCCAGTCAGGAAAAAGACATGCTGCAAGCGCTCAGCAGGAAAGGGCAAAAGTCGGAGTGCAAGTCAATCGGTCACAGACGAGATACCGGAATCGGATGCCTTGCCAAAGTCTCAGATAATATCCAAAGTTTGGAAGATCAAATAATTCAATAAATACATTTACTTGGACAACGAGATCCGTTCCATCAAAGACGACTCTGTAAGCAATATCAGGAAAGGAAACCGCGGTCATCTCTTCGCTTTCATCGTACTGCCGTCAATGTTGTATGAGACCGTGAGATGTGTCCAATCATGACAACCGAAGAACGCCAACTATCTATAGCCAGGAGAGCAACTGAAAGAAGAATGTTGGAAATCTCACGTCACGACAACATTCCCAACATGGTAGTCAGACGGCAGATGGTTGTGAAGGACTCCGTCGTCGAAAGCAGAAGTGGGAAGCTCCAGTGTGCCGGGCAGGTAGCTCGTCTCACCGAGGGCAGATGGTAGACGATTATCGCTGATACCCTCGAGGACAGATTAGGCCGCTAGGTCGCCCACCAGAACGGGCGAAGGTTACGTCATGAGCCATGAAAGCTGCTCTTGGAGTGAGAAAAGGTTCGAAACTGAGAAAAATGAGGAACGTGTTGCGGCTGGCGTGAATCGTTGCTGATTATTGACAGGTTCAAGTGATCCAACTGATATTGTTGACGAAGATGAAAGCTTTGAAGCAATCAAGAATTGCCTTCTCCAAATCTGAACAGAAATGCATCCAGTGAGAACCAGGCGTAAATCCTCATAATGCAGAGGACAGAATTCATAGGCTTGGCAAATGCTGTAATTCAGCCGTTGGATTCTGCAACCCAGAGAAAGCAATAAGATTATCGATGTCTGTAAATTTTTTAAGCTGTGTGCAGTAAATAATTTTAAAATTCACCGTTTCTACGTGCGATCCCTTGTTTCTACTTTTACCTTCTGCCGATCAGATTGACTTTGAATTGCGTTTGATGAAAGTGGTATGAGCTATTTAAAATGCTACATTACTATTGGTAACGTTAATATCGCTGAAGGGTTTAAACAACATTTGAATGCGGAAACCATGTTTCATTTTTTAAAAAAGTTATTTGAGCCATTTTGCGTAAGTGAGCAGATAGAGATACGATATGAGGCATTTATTTATAAAGAGCGTAGTGCAATGGATTGCGAAAACGAGGTTCATCTATGAAATATATGAGATGCAGTCAAATCGATCACGATAAATTTAAAATTTCCATCATTGATCAACAGCTACCTACTACTGTCTACCATTGAATGCAGCTGCTTTTGACAATAGCGTTTGCAGCCGAATTATATGATTACATAGTAATAATACGATGTTGGTAAATGGTAGCGTAACCCGTTACATTATTAATGCATACGGAACGCTCTAAAACTGTATGACACACAATTTAGTGATCTAAACTGTGAACAGTGGGAAGTCTTGTTCGATCGAAGCTAAGCCCATATTAAAATTTAGTTAAACGGTTTGAATATGTGTCACACTGAACTGGCCATCTAATTGATCAGTGACAATCGTTGAACAACGCTGAGGTAAGTGTATCGGATTTTCTTTAGGAAAATGTTCATGTTCTTGGCGAGAATAAACTTCAACTTCCTTAATATCGATCCAATAATGTCTGACTGTCTGTTGATCGAAGTTCTTATGAAGTGTGATTGCACTGTTTCGAAACCATATACAAATTTGATAGTATTAATTTAGGCGTGTCAGAACGCAAACAACTTGCTGAAAATGCGTGTTTCTGAGCTGGAATTCGCTCTCAGACAGTTTGAAGGCAATGTTAACAACGGTGATGGATGTGGCAACGGTCAGTGTGCATCGAAATTGTGGTTCATGTCCGCTCAAGTGGAGGCTTATAAAAATGAATGCATTATCTGGCGAACGAGGGCGTCTGAATTGGAGATTGGCCTGAAAGACCTGCTGATCACAAATGGTTCTCTAGAACAGCAGGTGACGTTGCTAGAGCAAGAAAAGAGCTCGCTGCAAACAAGTGCATCCAAAATGGTAGAAGAGCACAGGCTGGCCGTGACAGAGTCTCAGGATTTCGAAGAAATCGAGGCTGAGCCTGGATTAAGCGAATCTTCTTGCGAAGACAGGCAAAGACATGCTCTGTCGCTGGCCGGCAATTCGCAGCTGGTCTCTTGCCCTCTCAATGCCGTCACAGAGTCTACATTAACTGAACTGTCAAATGAAAATCAGAATTTACGCAAGGAGGTTGCGCAATTGAACAATGATCTCATGACATCGGAAAAGAATCGTGAACAGCTGAGAAACGAACTTGTGCAGAAATCTGAAGAGCTTAGTTCAAGTCAGCAGTTGTTGCACGATGTGGAACAACGACTTTACGATAAATGCAACGAAGTAGAGAAGGTAGAGCTGGACGTAGTTAAGCTTAAGGAGCGAAATCTCAGTCTTCAGCAAAGCCTCCAAAAGTCGAAAGATAAACTGGAGGAAATGGAGAACATAATGCATGAATGTGGGATTCACACTTTTTCTTCGATTAATAAAAATAAAAGTAACTACAAATCATCAGAGACCGTTTACCGAGACAGAGACGTTCAAACAGAGCTTTCATTTTCAGAAGAAGTTCATATGGAGCAGCAGTTGAAAGTCATTAACGACGAATATGATGATTTGCAAAAGAAATACGATAATGAAACAAAAGAACTTGAGACAAATTTGGCACAAATGTCGGAAAGCTTGTCCTTGAAAAACTCACTCGTCAACAACCTCACAATCCAGATTCAGACATTTTGTGAAGAGTTCGAAAGTATGCGACAAGGTTTCGAGCGTGAACGTTGCAGCTACGTCAGTAAGATCGAACAGTTGCAGAACTTGACGATGCAGATCCCTGTTCTCCAACAAAACCTCGAAATGGCCAGGAATGAGCTGATCGAATCGGAGGAGAAATTTAACGAGGAACGTCAAAGTTTCCAGAACACGATGGAAAGTTCGCTTTCCGAAAGTCTCAGACTGCAGACAGAAACGTGCAATTACTGGCGTTTGAAGCTGGCTGAAGTCGAGAAGAAAAGTGAATGTCAAAAACGGAAACTAGATGAAACGAATAAGAAGCTAAATGACACTTCAGTGAAGTTCAACATCGAAAACTCAAAACTCGCCCAGCAGGTGAGCTCATCGCTTGTCGAAATCACAGAGTTACGAAACAAGCTGAACGTAGCCAGAACGGAGAAGGCCATTTCAGCTGTTCCCGAAATGGTGTCCTGCGAAGTTCTGTGTGTGCCAAAGATGAACGCAGCTGGGACGGCCACAGACCAGGCAGAACTGCCTGATGAAAAGGACCACCGAATCATTCAGTTGGCCAGCCGTCTTGACGGTTCCTTGACCGACTGCGATCGACTGCGAGAGGAGACGCGATTTCTGCTCGCAAAGCTACAAGCCACCGAAGACACATGCAGTCAAGCACAAAGCAAAATCAACGACCTCAGGCAGCAAATCGCAGTCGACGCTGCGCAGGTGGAAATGGAAAGGGCGAACCATCAGAT